CTGAATTGTTAACAGCAGAGATAATACCCCATGTCAATCTGAAATCAAACATATATCTTTATTTGTAACAACTTTTCTTAGGTTTTTAAAAAATCATCCCCACGTCTCACAAGTCTCTTCATCTACAATGGATAAAGCAAGTGGCATCAGATGTCCATTTAAATCGACTGATGTGTTGGGTTTTGTACTCTTAGCTCGTGCGTTTATAATTAATGAACAAATTATTTATTGATTTATTTATTCAGTAAAGAGTTATTTTATTTCTTTGCATTACTCATATTTCAATAAACTAAGATCCCAATGTTATTTAATGTAACTGTAATAGTATATATTTGATCTACAATATATATTTAATATACAATGTATATATTTGATATACAGTATATATACAATATATATTCGATGCACAAGTGGATAATATTATAGTAAAATGACTTAAATGGTCTATAGTATATAATAAGGTTGGATACCTTATCTTGGTAACACTATGGATACGACCCGCTTTGTAATAGGTACAAACGACTTTATTCATGTCGTTCATGTGGAGACATGCGAGTGAGGGTATCCTATACAATGAGTTTGTATAAGACCGGACCGCGAAACAATTAATCTTTAGTTATAACACAGTAAACTAACTAGATTAATATTTCATATGACGACCAGATAACTCGATCTTAATCCTGAGCGAGTTATGAACTCCTGTCTATAAAGGATCGTCCTTTGATTTGTATGGGTGAGAATGGTCTGGGTTGCTGACTCAATAATCCTACCATTTTGGGGACGAGACCAAGTGGGGAGCTAGGAACATAACTACTCAAGATGAAATTCACTCATTCCCGACTTTAGAGTAAGTATATGAGTGTTCCCTTAAAGCTAACTCTAAGACTTGAACAAAATGCCTCACCCTCTCATTGACTCGAGAAGGACTTCTGTTTAAGGTCGGACCATAAACAAATTGTTCATTAGAGGAGCAGTGGTATTTAAGGTACAAGATGTAACTCAAGGGTAAAACGACAATTTGCCCCAACTGAAGTTACGAACACTCGTGAAGGATTTACTTATTGTCAATGATCAATTTCCATGGACACGAAATATTCTGCAGTGAGAAGAGTGCTGTTGTGAATCTTTAGTGGGATGATCTGCAGTTAACGAATGTTGGTTAATTTAGTTAATGAGTTTAATCAATTAACCTCGTATCGTTGAAGCTTCTGATCTGTAGGTCAATTAGGTCTCATTGCTAGCTCACAACGGATAAAACGAGGATCAAGAATTGTGAAAGAAATTTGAAATGTTCAAATTATATAAATAAGGGAATGTATATAATGATACATTATATATATAGTTTATATTGAATAAAGTTTCAAAAGTTAAACTATATATTCCGAGAGAAATATTTGAATGGGATTCAATAATTAATATTAAATATGATTCAAAAATATAGTTTTTTAATTTTAAATTTTTTTTTTGAGAAATATATAGTTTTTTAATTAAATATGTGATATTTGATTAAATGTTAAATAATTAAATGTTAATTATTTATTTAATTAGTATTTAGATTTAATTAATTATTAATTAAAGTAATTAATTATTAATTAGATAAAAAAATTAAATTAATTATTATTATTTATTAATAATTAATAATATTACTAATTAAAGCCCCCAACAAAATTGCACGCGAGTGAGAAGTTGTTGTGACGTGGGGAGTTACCTCATGTCACTTTTGGTTAAAACAATGCAGAAGTGTTATGCACTGTTTGCTTCTTGTTGCCCGCAAAGAAAACAGACAACTCTCCCAATTCTCTCACTCTCTCAATTCCCTATCATTGAATCCCACAATCGAAATTCTCGACCAAGAGACTTAGTAAGGAAGATCATGTGATGGTATCTATATCAATTTAGAATGAGTTATTCAAAGGTAAGAAAACTCATCCCCTGTATTTTACTTTTCTGTGTTTTTTAATTTCAAAAGGAAAATCCAAAAACACGTGTTACCGCTTTCGCTCGGGATTCACAATCCATCACAATCAATAGCTTCCCCTTATAATTTCCATATAGGTGAGTACTGTCTATTTGAAGTACAGGTCGACACTTTTGAAAAGATGCAATTCAAGGACCGAACCACCAAAATATTGAATGAAGAATGACATGACCCGACTTTCCATAATCCTAGATTTTTCATTCAACAGTTGTTCCTGGATTAGTGATATGAATCTTCAACATATTACAAGCAAATACTAGTCAACTCAATATTCATTCAAGACAAAAGCATCAATTGTGAAACTCAAGTTCATGCTAGATTAAATGAGGCTTTATTTAATCCTTTATTGTTACAAAACTCTTGGTTTGCTGATTTCATCTTTAATTTTTGGATTTATGGTGTATTTTGATTTATGTTAAGTTTTAAGACTTTTCATTTACTTATTATGTTACAATTAGTTAATAGTTGTTTATGGCATAGATGGACTTAATTGTTCCAACCCTTCAAATGCCTATATGTTACGTTAAGAACTATTTTGAAGGCTATATATAGTCATGTGTGTCAGATTTGAGAATATAGAATTGAGATGTAATGAAATGAGCATTTGAGTCATTTTTTTAGCCAATAGCTAATGTATTTTGCAATCTAGTGATAGCTTGCATGTTTAGGATCATTCAAGTGAGACTTGATCTATCTTACTTGTGGAATGATTCGAATCTCAAACAAGGAACGAGCTTTCTTGCCTTGAGATATTTGA